TCCAATATAACAACAACCGATACATGAAGCAAGCATCAGCGGCCATCTCCAATATAACAACAACCGATACACTAAGTAAGCATTAGCGGCCATCTTCAATATGTGCCCAGATAATAGCAGGGCTTAGAGCCACAAACTACCAGTTTAAAGTTCTATTTTGGGGTAGGAATATCTATAGATACAAGATTTTATTAAGAGCAATGGATACTTTTTTTTTAATTCTTAGCTATTTTTCAACAAAAATGAGTGCATTCTTACAGAAGAAAAACATTAATGTGTACATGAAAATTTTTTATCTCTTATGGCCTAAAAACAATATAAAGAGTTATGGTCATAAAAGGAGGCTTCAAAAAGTCTGTGGGCAAATGAGATGAAAAGATCACATTTATTTTCACAAACTTCTTGTAGCCCCGTCATCTTTCTTTTTCAGAAGTAGAGCATCTGCTTGCTTATCCCCCCCTCTCCCAACACATACAGGAAAGAACTCTAGCTATGAAAATAAAGCACAGGAATGGAAAGTCCCTTACTTTTCTTTCGTATGTCCAGCTGTTGTAATCAGCCTCTAAAAATATATACACCCCCACCTTCACTACTAATAAACACCCTAAGAAGAGCTAACAATGATTGAGAATTGACTACATGCCAGGCAAAATACCTATTGTGCTCTTACTGCATTAGGTCATTAAATCTTCATAAAGTCCCCTCCATCAGGGAACCTGGAGAGGCCATGCATGCAGCATGGACTATCCAAGGATGGTAGGAATCCAAACCCATGTCTCTTACATTCACTTTGTCTTTGAGGTAAGCCCAGAAAATGTATTTAGCCACAGACATCAATAACCATGTTTTAAGAAAGAGGAAACACAAACACTGAAAGGGATCATCTCAATGATATGGAGAGCATAAGTTATGAATGTGCGTAGAAAGGGGAGAGCAGCCGCAGAAAGTTCTAGAAGACCAAGAAAATGTCAGACTAAAACCAACATCAGCCTAAACTAAACTTTCTTTTCATTCCCTGACTGAATTCAAGCGAGCCCTGGCTTCATAATTAAGGGGCTCACTGCAAGCCCAAAAGATAGGAGGTTCAGATGCTCTGGCCAGTCAGTGGGGAAAAGATGAGGCAGTCTGCTTCCATCAAAACTTAAAAGGCTTGGATACCCTATGGGGCAGTTTACTTTGTCCTATCGAGTTGCTATGAGTCAGAATTGACTTGAGGCAGTGGCTTGGGTTAGGCAGATTCAGAGAATCATTTTGGTTGGAAGAGCTACTTTTGTGAGCAGAGTGCTCAGAGTTCTAGAAATAAAAAAGATGCAATGGACCATATTGAGCGGCTTTAGAACCTACCCTGCAGATAGTTATTAGGAAGACTTCTACAGTAAGTTCCACTGCCTAGTAATTGTAAGACCCTGAACAAGTCGCTGAACAAATGAACCTGCTTCTTTTTCAGGGATTTCAATACCATTTCCAGAGTGTTTTTCTTTCTTTCTGTTTTGCTCTACCTCTTAGGGTCACGAGGAGTTGGAATCAGCTCGGTAGCAGGTTTTGTTTTGTTCTGTATGTCACATTCAGAGATTGCCCTTTGTCAAGCTCAAATTCAGCTAGATATGCTCTTAAGTGATTTCCAAGTGTAAAGTACAGCTTTGATTCACATATTCAATACATAGATGAGACACTATCAACAGAAAGACCCACCTTGTTGTCAATTAAAATATATTTAATGAGTCCCTCCAAATTCACTGCCATCTAGTCAATTCTGATTCACAGCGACCCTACAGAACTGCTCCTGAGTTTTTAAGATTGTAACTCTTTATGGGAGTAGAAGGCCCCGTCTTTCTCACCCAGAGCAGCTGGTGGTTTAGAGCTGCGGACCTTTAAGTTCGCCTACGACAGACATATTACTATAACAGGCACTAAATATACAGTGAAGAAGTGGAGCCATGTACTGTTGGGACTCTCCCATCAGACCACAGTTCAAAGTTTAGCACTCCCATTTATTTATTATCTATGTGACCTTGGATAACAACAGCAATAAAGACAAAAACTAACATTTGGGGGTTTGCAAAGCCAGGCTCGGTTGCATAGATTTATTAATCCTTTTAGTAACTCATTTTTCCAAGTAAGAAACTGAAGCATAGATAAGCAACTTGACAAATGTCACCCAGTTTGAAAGCAGAGATAGGCGCACCCAGAGCAGCAGGCCCAGGCTCCTAACCTTTAGACAGCATTGCCTGACTACAACAATCACCGTTGACGAGACTGGCTTAAGAACCGTGGGTGGCACATAGCAAGGTGGGGAAAGGCAGGACACAGCTATCCCGGAGGACAGAACAAACAGGATGAAATTATCCAAGTTTTTTAGTTCTAAGCCTCTTCCAAAGTCTTAGGACACCTGATCTATTTTTACCCAAGTTTGGGTCAAAGGTCAGGTTTATCATTTACCATAGGATACTGGAAACGAGGAAAACAAGAGACGAAACCCAAATCTCAGCACCAAACTTTATCTCTGCCAAGCACCTCTTATCTGACCTCTTTCTCTGGTGCCTCTACCAAATATCACGCTATAGATATTGTTGCTGTTGGATTGAATCGATAAGAGATTTGCAAAACAATTTTAAAAGTTAAAACAAAACACAATGTCATCACAAAGAAGGAGGCTGATTAGAATGATTCCTAATAAAAGCGGAGAGTTTGCGGACGCTCACAATTTCCTGTTGCCACAAAACAAGGCGTCAGAACAACTAATCATTGAGTGCGTGGACTCCTAGGGTCATGAGTAACCTGTGGCTGCTAATACATAGGTGTGCATTTTAAACTCACCAGCAGCCCCAAGAGAGAACCTTGAGGTTTCCCGCTGCCCTAAGGATTCAAAGCCTGGGAAATCAACTGGGGCAATTCTAGTCTGTCCTACAAGATAGCTCTTGAGTCTGAACTGATTCCATGGAAGAGTGTGTGTGTGTGTGTGTGTGTGTGTGTGTGTTGGGGGGGGGGGGGCAGCACGGGAATCTCTTTACTTCAAGATCCAATTTTCTTAAAACCTAATAGGTGAAAGGTTGAGTAGTCCCTGAGAACTTTATGAACTCTCTAAAGTTTAGCATCATTGAATTCTGAAAAATGAAGTCATCAAGTTCAACCCACTCATTGTGAAAAAAGGAATGCATGGCCAAGGCCAGAAAGGGTTAGTAAGTTGTTCCAAAGTCACAAAGTTGGTCGAGGCTACATTCTTTCTTCTAGTAGAATGCTTTCCTCACAAGCACATTTTTATGCCTTTATCAATTGCATGATGGCACTAACTATCGAAAACCTAGAACAATAAACATATTAATACAAAAGTGGAAAAGATTCTGGAACACAATTGGAACGCGAGAAAAATAAATGCTGATTGGAAAAAGGTTACATGTCCTATTTTATTATGTTCACCATCAGTAATTTCAAAATACAGTTCTTCCACAGAAAGACAAACAGGCAGTCCTTATGCATTAGGCTACTCATAAAGTTAGCAGTTCAAAACCACCAGCCACTCCTCAAAAGACAAGGCCTTTTACTCCCATGAAGGGTTAAAAATCTCAGAAACCCACAGGGGCAGTTCTACCCTGTCCTATAGGATCCCTATGAGTTGGCATCCACTTGATGGCAGTGAGCGTTGAAGAAAAGACCTAGAACAAATTTTAGGCATTGAAAACTTGGGACTACACGGGGTCAAAAGCCCTGGCTGCATTTATGCAGTCAAGAGTGAAAATTGGGAACGCAAAGCTGTTATTTCTTACCTGTTGTCAATATTGCTATTCACATGGCAAAGGTTAAGAACGGTCATTTCCAATCACCACAGCGGCAGTCTTCCTGATGATTAGAAATGGTACGTTTCTAATCAAACATCTCCAAAAGGAGGCGTTCTCTACCATAGCCGCTGAGGCCCGGCCACAGCTGTTGGATTTCCAGCGAGGAGATGGAAAGCAATTTCAACTCCTATGGTGGACACCGCTCTGAGCCTGGCACCTATCAGACGGGGCACTCAACCACGGATTGGCAGAGGGGTGGGCCAGCTGGACACGACTTACCGAAAACACTGCATTCTGGAGCCCGAAAGGTATGGGGGTCAGTCTGGCCAGCGCCACCACTTTCAGGCCGCTGCCTCCCTCCACGACCCGAATAACGGCGCTCAGCTTCTCGCTGCTCTGGATCTTGGCGGCCACCCAGGCGGTGAGCAGCCGCTTGCAGACCACATGGGCGATGAAGGTGCCGATGAGGACGCCCACCATCATCAGTCCCATGCCCAGCACGAAGCCGTACAGGTAGCCGGCGGCCACGTTGAGTAAGATATAGCCCCAGCCGCAAGGGAAGGAGACCGCGATGAAGCCCACGACGAAGAGGAGGACCCCGAGAAGCGAGTCGAGGCTCTCCACCCAGAGCAGGAGGTGCTGCAGGTAGCGGCGGACCAGGGCCAGCGAAGCGAAGCACAGGGCGGCCAGCACGCAGACCAGCACGAGGCTTCGGCACCAACAGGTGCTGCCGAGGCAGCAGCAACGCCAGTTTCTCACCTCGGCCACGCCGACCACCGCGCTGCCGCC